ACAGCAGCCAGTCGAACGAGCTGCAGCACGAGAACACACTGACACACACACAGGAACATGAATCAGCATTAGCAACACATAAACTAACAGCAGACACAGAGAGCGATAAAAACCCTCAGTGAAGATCATCACACAGCCAAACACACTCACACTGTGTGTGACGCTGGAGTTACGCTTTTAAATATTTACAACAGCATTATTTCAGTATCACTGACTTACTCCTCATTCTTGTTATTTTAGTACTTAAAATAAGTTCAACTAAATGTGAAATGCTTTTAATGCATGCAACACAAAAGTGCAGAAGAGCGTGTGGTTTTACGCCATCACATATCACGCTTCAAAACGCATCTCCAGCGCACCGCGTTTGCTGCAATGTCGCTGGCATGTTTACAGTCCTCCAGCAGCCCAGCTCACACCGAGTGTGTGTTCTCAGATGGAGGAACGGAGGTTCACGCACCTGAAGAGAGACGCGTCCAGGTAGCAGGAGTTGAGGTGACCCTGAATGCCTTTCTTGAAGCCCTCGTATGTCAGACGGGCGTCCGGACCGCACAGCGGAGGCGTGTGCTCCTCCACACGCTTACTGCTCCAGTTAGCAAACGCTGAAACACACCATCACACTCGCTCAGCACACACACTACTGACAGACGACACATTACTGCTGCAATAATACGCATTATTATATACTTTGCAAAGGTATGCATTATCATGGACTATGCATAAGTGTACTAACGCATCATTTTCTTTGAATCAGATTGCTAAATGAGAACCTTACAGAATTTAAGACAATATTTTTGCAGTACTAATATGCATTATTATATATTTTGTAATTTTCTGCATTATCATGCATAAATATATTAAGGCACATTTATTTTCATTAAACTGCTTAAGACATTTTTTTTGCGGTAATAACATGCAATGCTAGATATTTTGCAACTTCATACATTTATGCATGATGCATAAATATATAAAAGCATCATTTCCATTTAATTAAACTGCTCAATGAGGACCTTACAGAATTTGAGACATTATCACTGCAATATGTTTGCAGTAACAATATGCATTATTATATATTTAGAATATTTATTTTGCAATCCATTATTATGGATTAAACTAATTATAACTTATATAACTTATGTATATAAATATAAAATAAAAAAATATTTATACATATATATATCATTATGCATAAACATCTTAATGCATAATTTTCATAATGCATAATAGTTGAATTGCTAAATGAGGACCTTGCAGAATTTAATAATATGCAATATTACATATATTTACAATTTTATGCATTATATTACTTTGTATTTTAGTGCAATATATACTCAATATTATATATTGAAATAATGTCCATTGTTACAAGCACCATATAAATGAGACTGACTCAGCTTGCATCTCTAGCTCCAGCTCCTGGAGGGCCGCTGTCCTGCCTGGACGTTTGTAGTCTGCCTAGTAAGAGCTTAACTAGCTGGTTCAGGTGTGTTTGATTAGGGTTGGAGCTGAACTCTGAGTGCTCACCGATGGAGTTGCAGCGGTCGACCTGATTGATGGGCAGCTCAGGCTCAGGAAACCTGGAGTCGCGTCTGCAGTTCCTCAGTCTGACGAACAGGCCTTTGTGAGCGGGACAGTGGAAGTGACGTTCACCGAGATAACTGCCATCTGTGGCGGCGGACAACTCCTGATCCTGGTGGGGCGGGAGATA